AACTTTTTCTGGGGAATGGAAAAGGACAAACACAAGTATCACTGGACATCACGGTCCAAACTATCTTTCCCTCCAAATGAAGGTGGTGTGGGTTTCAGAACCATTCAAGACTCATGTAAAGCTATGGAGTTCAAGCAATGGTGGCATTTCAGAACAGCAAACTCTCTTTGGAATTCGTTCCTAAAAGCAAAGTACTGTCAAAGATCAAATCCAATATCCAAGAAATGGAATTCAGGCCAGTCACACTACAAGAAACTAGACTTATTGTGGCGACATATTGTGGCGACCCATTGGGTTGCAACAAAAGTTATAGTTTTAGCGGCGACTTTAAAATGTCGCTACAAAATGACAATATTTAGTTGCGACTTTATTAGGTCGCCTCTGATATATGCAACTAAAGGCTGAAATATTTCATTCCCGCGAAAGCAAAATTTTGGCTCCACAGATGTTGTGGCGACTTTAATAGAGTCGCTGCTAAATAGTTTTTTGGAGCGACTGGGTCGCCTCTATTACTTAGTTATTTTAATTTTTAAAAAAAAAGAATCGCATAACAATTAAAACAACAGAAGAACTTAAAAGAACAAATTCTTGTTTTCCCCTCCATTTCTCAATTTTATTGTTCCTCTCGCTAGAAACCCTCTTTCTTCTAAAACTCAGTACTGCTTTCCCCTACTNGAGACTTAGAGTAGTCAAGTAGAAGAACATCTTTTGCTGCCAGCGCTTGAAATCAATCCCGGAAAATTTTCCGGGTCTCTCCGCCGGTGCCAATTCTGCCGGTGTTGTTCGGCTCGTTGAGGTATTGGCAGTCACCATTGGAACATCTTGGTTCACATTATCATTAGTCATTTCTGTAAAAGAATGACACAAACATTAAAATCACGTAGATTTTAATCTCCAATAGAGTACAAAACTACAAAAGTTTTAATCTCCAGAAACAGTGAGTACAAATACAGAAAATAGATTAAATTCCTTAAGCTTGTTAGTAAACTGTATTTGTAAAATAATTCTGGAAAATATAAACAGAAATGAAAAACAGATACAGAATTTTAATCCAAAGCCGAAGACGACGATGGCGTGAGGCTTGCCTTCTTCCCAACTCTTTAAGAGCTAGAAGAAGAGCAATTGCTTATACACCCATAAAAAACCTCTTCCTCTTCCAATATGGGACAATGTCTTTGCCAAGGGGGGAAACTTAAAATTTCACTTAAAATTTTCATTTCCTTCCATTTCCCATTCACCCTATTTTAAGCATATCATATACTTAAAATCCCAACATATCCAATTACTTCGATTGAATTATCTACAAAATACAATGCCTGATATATAAAAAAGATGGACAATTACGTCTAGATCTAGACGCTAGAATTATGGGAGAAGATGACCCAGTTAAAAATCATTAAATAAAATCTGGAGACATGTCACTGAAATAAAGAATTTGATATGAAAATTCATTATTTCACAAGCTCCTTTTGTGTGTAAACACGGAATGTCAACTTTGCAAAAGTAGTTCTTAGATACTCAGGGAACCATTTGGTGTGAAAAAGGTTCTCTGTGAAGGATGATTGTGTAAATAAGGATTTGTATAGTGATCCGATCGGTCATTTTGAGAATTTACATTCTGTTCGGTAGTTTGAAGTTATGAGTAGCTTTATATGGTGTATTATGACTTGTGTGTATCGTCGGTTTTGGTTTTCGAGAGGTTTGGGATTGATTTGGAAGAATTATTCTCAATTTGGAAGCTTTAAGTTGAAAGGGTTGACCAAGCTTAACTTTTGTAAATTTGACCTCCACTACAAGAAACTAGACTTATTGTGGCGACATATTGTGGCGACCCATTGGGTTGCCGCAAAAGTTATAGTTTTAGCGGCGACTTTAATTGTCGCTACAAAATGACAATATTTAGTTGCGACTTTATTAGGTCGCCTCTGATATGTGCAACTAAAGGCTGAAATATTTCATTCCCGCGAAAGTAAAATTTTGGCTCCACGGATTTTGTGGCGACTTTAATAGAGTCGTTGCTAAATAGTTTTTGGAGTGACTGGGTCGCCTCTATTGCTTAGTTATTTTAATTTAAAAACAAAAAGAGGTGCATAACAATTATAACAACAGAAGACCTTAAAAGAACAAAATTCTTGTTTTCCCCTCCATTTCTCAATTTTATTGTTCCTATCGCTAGAAAACCTCTTTCTTCTAAAACTCACTGCTTTCCCCTACTTTGCTCAAAATCCCTAAAATCATAAAATGTGAATCTCATATAGATGCATTATTTCTCAACTACGAAGGAAGAATTATGTTGGCTACTCCGTTTCTCTGCTTCCAGTTACTGACCCAAAAGCTCAAATCATGTATATGTTAAAATCCCTAAATACTTTCATTTTTCTTTTGGATTATACGAAAGCATGTTGTGTTTTCTTAGGATTTCCAAATACAACAAGTATCAAGGGAAATTTTTATATTTGGAGTTCTTTATAATGATTCTAGAAGGCAAAATATTTAGCATGCAGCTAGCAATAATTATTATTTTAATATTTTTACATTTGTATTCTCATATTTCACCTCAAGTTTCTTTTAACCCATTTGAATATTTACAGGAATTCGTACAGATTGTGTCATCTAAGTGTTGTTATTTGCTGATTCAAAGTCTTGGCTGAACTCTCAGCTATATATTTTCCTGGGTAAGTGAAAGTTTCTTCTTGAAAGACCCTTTGGTGATGTTATTGCGATTTTTTGTTTGGTATTTCATTCTTTCTCTGTTCTTATGTGGTTATTCTTTTTTTCCCCGCATAAATTTGACAAATTTCTAGTCCCAGAAAGCTTTGAGACAAGAAATTGGGTTCTCTCCTGCTACTTTCAAGCTCCACTTTTACTCTATTGCAGGTAACCTCATAACTCGAAGTTATTTTTATGATCTATTTTATCACACTATGGTTTGAGTTTGAGCCTGTGTTGTGCTTATTTGGGTTTTAAGAATTTTGACCTGAGGTTTTAGATGGGGTATTTTAGGATGGAGTAATATTTGTTCTAATTACACATTGCCTGATTTGTTTTGGAAAACTTTGTCTATGGACTGGTTTAGCCGACATGTAGTAGAAAACTTGCCTGAAATTTGCTAATTGTTAGTTTGTTTAACATTTTATAGCTGGATAACATTTGTATGTAACATGCTTCACATTTTTGTACTATAATCTGATTTTCTTAGTTGACACGGCGAGTTCACAGAAATTCCATGTCGATTCTAAATTTTTAGGTTCAAGTTGGCTGAAGAAATTCAGGATAATCTCATATTGTAGACCTTAGTCTTATTGGTTTTTTTTGTTTCTATTTCGGATGGTACCTGTTATTGTATAGTTTTGGGTGTATTCTGCTGTTTATTTGCATAATTTGTTGTTTATTTGCATTGTGCTATGCCTTCTTTAATGATTTGTATGATATATTTTTGTATTAAAAAATGCTCCATCTCAATTTCTGGAATTTACTTTCAATTCCTTAGCTTTATTTTGTATGATTTAGTTGTTCTATACAACCTGTACTCTGCTTCTGTTTGATCTAGTTAATTCTGCTAGTATCTTGTCATGACAATTGGCTATTGTTTGGAAGCTTGGGCGGCTGGTCTGCCTCTTGTTAGACCATTTTCTATTGTCAAAATAACATCAAGTTCTGGCAGTCTATTAATTTGACATATGAAAAATGACTAGTATATTGTTAGTTTTCTTCTGAGTTCTAATAGTAACTTAACCAAAAAAGAGTGCTTCTGAAAGTACTACGTGATTTGATATGGGATTTGATTGTGTGGCTTGTTGAAAAGCTATTTAACAATCTTTATTTGGATAAAGTCATTAGAGAGGATCTTTTAGAATGATGCGTTTTTGTTCTGTGATTTATAGTGTGTTTGTAGTTGATACACCAGAACTGGAATAGTGTATGTGCATTTACTCTTCTTGAGCAATTAGCAGCTGTGAAATTTTATACGAGTGAAAATTGTGGTCTTGAAGATTATCTCGTACTCTGGTTTGGCATGAATTTCTGTTCTCCTCCTCATCTTTTGAGCAACATTACCAATTTAGATTTTTTTCAGCACCACTACTAAAGTTCCGAGTGGGGAAAAAGTTGGGGCGTGAAATTTAACTATATAACCTAGGGCTGGGCATATATCGGGTATAACCGATAGCCCGAACCGAAAAAAGCTTATTGGGATATCGGTATCGGGTTATTGGGTTAATGGTTCGGCAACAATTTAATATTTTTTCACTATTGGATTATCGGTTCGGGCCTCGGTTTGTCCAATTTCTTAACGGGTTAACCGATAACCCAATAAGAATTAGTACTATTTCAGTTGTGGTTGGACAACTGTTGAATTACTAGTACTCTTGTTGCTCTTGCTACAATTAGACTCTGAAAAAAGACACTCTTGATTATGGTTTGGCAAGAAACCAAAAAATTGTTATTTATGTTCTTTATAACTTCTATTTCTAGCGAATTGGAGATGGAATGCTTGTGGTGTTGTAATATCATTTTTTGAGATTGCACAGGTCTTGAATTTGTCAAAATGAAACATGCTTCAAATATTAGTTGTGGTTCTGAATATGTCTGGTTTATTGAGGATGCTTTCAATATGCTAAATTTTTTTTAGCGAGCTTCATATTTAGTAATGATTGTAGTTACTTCTGTAGCTCAATGTTAACTTCATCGTTCTTATCTCTTAGAGTTTCATGTATTTCACCAAGTTCTACCGAGTAGTATTTACAGAGTATTGGGTTAATGTAGTTTCACATGGCCAAACTTGGACGTTTTGATCTAGTTATTTTGACATAGAGAATTTTACAGAAGTGACATCATTTGTGAACCTGGATTGCACTTGGCTGTACCAATGTTAACTTTTTCTTAATTCTGCATCACCATTTGATTTCTTTGGTATGTTAGTTATTATAGATATTTTGATTATTATAATCCTTCCACTTTTAATTAGGTAATTCATTTATTTATTTTTTAAAATAGATATGATGGATAAAAACTGGTTGAATATTCGAAACAGAGTCGACCAAAGGTATAGAGATGGAGTAGACAACTTTCTTAATTGGGCATTCAGTCAACCAACGGTGAATACTATGATTCGGTGTCCTTGTAAAGGGTTCATGAATACCTTGTTCAAGCTAAGGGTTGGTGTAAGAGGTGATTTACTGAAGAAGGGTTTTTGTGATTCTTATAAAGTGTGGGACTTGCATGGAGAAGTGTTAGTTAGAGTTGAAACTTCTAATACTGCAGTTAGTGATGAAGCGGAAGATGATAGCATTGAAGAGGATAATATTACTGAAATGATTCACGATGCTTGTGGACATACGAATGTGGAGGATAATAATAATAATTCAGAGGACAATGAAGAGCCAAATATACATGCAACAAAGTTCTACAAATTGTTAGAAGATGCTGAGACAGAACTTTATCCTGGTTGTAAAAACGTCTCGAAGTTGTCTTTTGTTGTTAAACTACTTCAGTTGAAGTGTCTTAACCATTGGAGCAACAAATCAATGGATGCATTACTGAGCTTCTTTAAAGAAGTTCTTCCCGAGGGGTCATTTGTGCCTAATTCTTTCTATGAAGCAAAGAAAGTTCTTTGTGACCTCGGCTTGGGGTACACCAAAATAGATGCATGTAGGAATGATTGTACTTTATATTGGCGTGATTATGCCGATGTCCAAGTATGTCCTAAGTGTGGTCAGTCTAGATGGAAGTCCGAAGAACACGGAGGCATGAAAGTAGCTCATAAAATCTTGCGGCATTTTCCAATCAAACCAAGGCTTCAAAGATTGTACATGGCAAGATAAACAGCTAAAAAGATGAGGTGGCACAAGGAGGGAAATGTTGATGATGGTGTCTTGCGACATCCATCTGACTCAATAACATGGAAATCCTTTGATGCACGACATCCCACCTTTTCAGCTGAGTTAAGAAATGTTCGATTAGGTTTGGCGAGTGACGGGTTCCAACCTTATGGGAACATGAGTTCTAATCATAGCATTTGGCCAGTCATACTAGCTAAGTATAACTTGCCACCATGGGATTGCATGAAAAATCCATATTTCATGATGACGCTTCTTATTCCGGGTCCCAAGTGTCCAGGCAATGATATCGATGTATATTTACAACCAATGATTGTAGAGTTGAAAGAATTATGGGACGGGGTGGAGACTTATGATGCACAATCAAAATCTAATTTTCTGATGCGTGTGGCTATCATGTGGACGATCAATGACTTTCCTGCATATGGAAATCTTTCAGGATGGTCAACCAAAGGCAAGCTTGCATGCCCTTGTTGCCATAAAGATACACAATCGACTTCCTTGCGTAGTAAGTTGTGCTATATGGGTCATCGTCGCTTCCTTCCCATGGACCATCCATGGCGGAGAAGTAGGACGTTATTTGATGGAAAAGTTGAAATGGGAGTTGCACCTAACCCTTTAACAGGTGATGAAGCACTTGTGCAATTACAAGCATTGGGTAATGTGAGTTTTGGTAAAGGACAAAAGAGAAAGCGTGATGTTCATAGCAATGCTTACAATTGGAAGAAAAGTATCTTTTTCCAATTGCCTTATTGGAAGTGTCTTATGTTACGACATAACCTTGATGTGATGCACATATAAAGAAATATGTCCGATAATATTATATCAACAGTCATGAATATGGTTGGAAAGACAAAAGACACATTGAAAAGTAGATATGACTTGATGGATCTTGGAATCAGACAAAGGTTGCATCCTATTGAGGATGGGAACAATATTTTGTTACCGGCAGCATGCTATGCATTGTCCGCGGAAGAGAAGCTGAAGGTATGCAGTTTCTTAGCTAATCTGAAGGTTCCTGATGCATTTTCCTCAAACATTTCAAGGTGTGTCAACGTACAGGAGAAAAAGATACATGGATTGAAATGTCACGATCATCATGTATTGTTGCAAGACATTTTTCCAGTAGCTATACGTGGTTTGCTACCCAAGGAAGTGTGTGATCCAATTATAGCCTTAGGAAAGTTTTTCAAGAATATATACTCTAAGTGCTTGACGATTGAAGATCTTGATATCCTAGAGGCAGAAATTCCTGTTATTTTGACCAAACTTCAACTTGTTTTCCCTCCGGCTTTCTTTGATGTCATGGTTCATTTGCCAATTCACTTGCCAAGTGAGGCAAAGCTTGGTGGACCAGCTCAATATCGGAATATGTATCCTATTGAGAGGTAATTTATTGTTTAATAATTTCGATGCTACAGTTTTAGAATGACACACATTATATTAATATGTCATCTTATATAGGTATCTACGAACACTTAAGTCATATGTTCGCAACAAAAATCGTCCAGAAGGTTCAATTGTAGAAGGTTATTTGGCAGAGGAAAGCCTCACATTTTGCTCACGATACTTGAAGAATATCTCAACAAAGTTCAATAAACCAACTAGGAATGACGATGGATATGTGTCAAATGATGAGATGTATATCTTTAAAAAAAGTGGGCTAACAAAGGGTGCCTCAGACGGCATCAGGCTATCTCATGATGAGTTTAAATAAGCATGTATGTATATGCTTCAAAATTGTGAAGAGGTTTCGCATTTCATGGAGTAAGTCTCTTATTAACTTCAAGATAGTTTCACATTGAGATAATTTGAATCCGATTTATCTTAGCTAACTTAAAATGTAGGGAATATACAAGCGAGATTGAAAGCCAAAGTTCAATGAGAGCTCATAAAAATGGGTTTCTTGATTGGTTTTGCGCACGTGTAGGTGTCTACTCAAATGATAATGTTGATATTAGTTTATTCATCCCATCATGTTATTGGTCATAACAATATTGTTCGTCTTTGTAGATATTTGTACTATCTGCACAAGGACGCGCAAATGATGAGATCATAAGCTTAGCCGTCGGTCCTGCACCATTAGTACATCGATATTCAACATTTGTGGTGAATGGATTTAGATTCCATATAAAAGAGCTTGAATTCAGAAGAAAAACGCAGAATAGTGGTGTCCTTGTGAGAGGAGATGATTCAGACTCTAATAAATAGTATTATGGTGTATTAGAGGACATTTATGAGTTATGTTATGTGGGGAACAGAAAAGTTTACTTATTCAAGTGTCATTGGTGGGATGTGGCTCGCTTAGGAAGAGGATATAAGATTGACAAATATGGCTTCACAAGTGTGAATACTCGGTGTGCCTTGAATACAAATGAGCCATTTGTGTTGGCATCTCAGTCAAAACAAGTCTTTTACTTGGACGACATGGTCGATAATGATTGGCTTGTGGTTGTGAAGACAAATCCTCGTGACCTTTTCAAAATGCCTGATAATGATGATGATTGTGTAGATATTGAAGATGAAGAATTACTGAATGAAGAAGTTTATCAGCAAGAGGAAGCTGAATTTAATACTTTGTGCACCAATGACCAAGAAAATATTGTTGAGGTGTCTCTACATACATTGAACCACAAAGTATTAACTACGATCATGCAAGTACGCAAGCTCAAAACGATGTGCATAATGAGGAAGATGATTTCATTAATGACAATCATATAGAAATATCAGAGAGTGAAGATAGTGAAGAAGAGTTATTTGATGATGATGATGGGGAGGATCTGATACATCCTCTTGAAGACTAAGAAGCAAAAGACGAATGATATAGATGTTACATCTATTTTGAAAATTCTCTATATTTTTGTCCATGACTTTATACTACCCCATGTATTTGTTTGGAACTGTCAATGAACCAAAGATTAGTGATGCTTGAATCTTCATATTTCTTTTTTGATTCTATTGTAGCTTTATGTTGTATTGGTATAATGTACAGGTGGAGTAATGAATTGTGTTAAAAGAAGGGATCTATTGTTCTATGTGCCCTTTCTATAGACATCTGAAGTTAGAAAATTAATGAATTAATATTTTCTCTATTCTGATTAATCATTTTCTTTTATGTTTTATTGCAGGAAATGAGAGGAATTGGACGAGGAAAACATGGGAGAGGCGGGACGAGCCGTGGTCGTGAAAATTTTCAAGGACGTGGCAATTTTGGAGCGACGTCTTAGCCACACATACAGACCGGACGTGTATCTGATGCATCTGTAGAGATAGGACAACCAAGTAACCCAAGTCAAGGACCTTTACAGACCGGACGAGTATCTACTAACTCTCTCCAAATACCTTCTTTAGAAACACAATCATCACGAAATGTAGCAGAACATGTGCATTGCTCTCCATAGGCTGAAAATTGTGCAAGTTAGTTTCTATTTTTTGTTGTTTTGTGAAAATTATTTTTACTGATTGAGTGGAGCTACAAATGAACAATAGTATCCTTTTACTTTGTTGTTTCTTCCAGTAATAAAAAAAAGAGGAAGAGGAAGAGGAAAATACAAATCTAAAAGATTAGAGGTAAAAACTAAGTGTGGTGACAAAATCAAAATTATGATTCCAGATGACATTGATAGAGTAGTAGGTTCTGGGGCTAGAGATATTATTAATTACTGTGGTTTGATCACGAGGAGCACTATCTCGTTCCAAGATGGAAATTGGTAGAAAATAGTTCTGAAACACGGAGAAGTAATGTGGTTAAAGGTCAAGGTAATAAACTACTTTCAATATTGTATTGACTTTAAGTTGCAAGGTTTATTTATGTGGTTAGGATATTGAATATAACAACAACAACAACTACTACCCAGTAAAGTCCCACATAATGGGGTCTGGGGAGGGTAGTGTGTACGCAGACCTTACCCCTACCCCGATAGGGGCAGAGAGGCTGTTTCCGATAGACCCTCGGCTCAGAAAGACAAAATAAAGTAAGAAAAAACAAGAGGAGAGGATATTGAATATAATGTTACATTTATTGTCAGGATAAATTTGAAGTTTGCGGCGGGTTGCAAGAGCATAGGTTTCAGTCCTTTGTAATTAGCACTATGCAAAGGCTTTTTAGAGCATGGAAAGCTCTACTCAGCATTATGTACTCTAAGTACAATACTAATGAAGAAAGATTATCTCATCGACCTGAAGATGTTGAGCTTGAGGACTGGAAATACCTAATACAATATTTTGGAAGTCCGGAATTTAAGGTATTAACTTAATACCTGAAGATTGTCTCTTTGAATGATGATTTATTAATCTGTTTATTTACAGGTTGTAAGTGAGAGGAACAAAAGAAATAGAGAAAAACAAGTAATTAAGCATACTTGTGGTACAAAGTCTTTTGCAGAAGTAGAGGAATCTACGGTAAAAATATATTTAATCCCCTACTATCACATATGCTTCTTTGTTATTTACATATTTATATATTTGCTTATATAGAGAAATCCTATTATTGGAGAATTGGACACACCAGATAAAGTTTGGGAGATCCAACATACACGCAAGGATGATAGAGGTGAACTGGTGTGGTCGGATTCACAATCCCAACAAATTCATGTAATTGTCTAAAAATACTTATAAAGTTCTCTGTTTCTGTAAGTTTCATTTAATATGTTTTATTATGTTTTGATTTAAATGATTATGCATAAATGCAGGGTCAACTCCAGGAAGTTGTCGCTCAGCAACAATCTGAGGATATCGAGCATCCCATGACTAGTGATGAGATTTTATCCTCCGTTGTTGGTGAGAGAACAGGCTATGTTCGTGGAAAAGGATACGGAAAGAAGCCTCCTAAAAAGAGTAACATTCAGCAGGCAAACATAGAGGCCAGCGTGTCTTCTGCTATTGATATTATGCGTCAAGAGATGCAAGCCGAGATGGATAGGAAGTTGCAAGAAGAACGTGAACAAATGGCTGCTGAGTTTCGAAGAAATATGGAAATTGAGTTGGAAAGGAAGTTGGCAGAGGAGCGTCAACACGCAAATGAGGAGCGTCAACACGCAAGTGCAGAAACAGACAAGAGGATCTCTCTAGAAGTGGAGAAGAAGATGCATGAACAATTTTCTAGTTTCTTGACCAAAATGCAACAACAACAGGTACTTGCTCCCCTCCTTCTTAACAATTCTTCTTCCTTCTCGACATTTCTTCTTTCTTCCTTCCTTCTGTAGTGACTTCATATTTAGGGGTTTAGTAACCACCAGGCATTGTGGTGTTCTATATGGTGGTAACCTTCTGATTTTGCTATTGGACTGCCTTGGCTTCACATTGATTGTTGCCCTTTTGAGGTTGCCACTGAACTTTCTTTTTGGACCTGGTGTTCTTCTGTTAACTTGTTGAAAAGGCTGTTCATTTGCTTCAATATAGATATGTTCATTTTCCCTTCTGTTAACAAGTATGTTCTGTTCTTTCTGGAGTCCTGTAGAAATAAGCTAGAAATAAGCTAGATACTTATTTCTGGAGTTCTGTTCTTTCTGGAGTTCTGTTCTTCTGTTGCTTCAATATAGATACTTATGCACGGCTTAACTCATTCTTAAAAATAAGCTAGAGGGAGCTCCAGTTTGTTATGCCAAACAATTCACTGATGATCCAGTTTACTTCGTTTTCTGTTTTCACCAACTCCTTGAGTGTACAGTCTTGGAGGGTGCATAACGATTTACTCAATTAACTTTCTTTTATTCTTTGTGAATTGAAACAGAAAAAGTTGTGCTTGACTTTGACACTGTCCCATTTTCAATCAAATGTTACTAAATGGATTGCACAAATCAATTTGCTGTTATATATAGTCTTTGATTTTTCTTTCAAGGATCTGGTGCCTCTTTCTAGTTGTGCCATTGCTTGAAGGCAAAACAACTGATTGTTGCGTCAATTCTGAGCTAGTTAAATGCATTTTACATGGTGTTATCATGGCTCATTTAAGGTGCGCTTATCAATGTTTGCTCCTTAATTTAAAGATTAGACAGTTAGCATAGAGAATGAGATTGGATCTTCTGAACTAATTTTTACATTAAATCCTTCACTTGTGAATCACATAATTTTCTCAGTAAAAGCATGCATATGAATTAAGTTGAAAAGTGATTCGAGATTTGATGTCATATATGGTTTATTTGAATTAATTTAATACATGGATGACTGGTTGGCGATAATCCTATGTTTGAGAATGAGAGTGTAATATATGAGTTGCTACGTAGTTGTTGATATTACTGGTTTTGCTACGTAGTTTCATAGAGTGGTTTTGCTAAATCTAAGAGAAAGATGAGCTTTAAAAATTTTCTTTTTCATTTGAAACCTGTGTCATTTTCTTAATAGACCTGCTTGTTATCCCTATTAGCTAGCGCTGCATCTCGATTAATCCACCGGTGCCCACATCACTTGTACCGTATAATTCTGCTCTCCAATGCATAAAGAGATGGTAGTTACGTACTAACCCTATCACATATACCGGGTAACTCTATTTTCCTAGGCGTATAAAGATAGGAAAATCACCTAGTGATTTCTGACTCGGGTAGGATTTGAACCTTGGTTTCTCATGGTTTTCGTCCCATTTCATAGATCACTAGGCTGTTGGTGATTTTAAGGGGAATTACCATTCCTCCAATATTCCGAAAAACTTTCATTAATTGTGCTTTATCTTTTGCTAAATGATCTTTTTTCGATCCAGCTGTTGCTATGTGCCTGTTTGTATCGAAGGAAAGTGGTTGAGAGGCGCGAAACTCTTAAAATGTCTTGGTCTATCAAGCAACTGCTTGCTAATAATTAGATGACTAATTAATCATAAGGTAAATGAGCAGCTTTCTTAAGAGTGGTATCCCATAATCACTGGGATTAAGAGTCATGGTAAGACAACATTTTATCTATAGATAAACACATAAATCGGTGTTGGGACTTGGGACATGCTTCCACATTCTGATGCATTCTCATTTTGAAAATTAAGTTTTTATGCTTTAGTCTTTACAGGCAGGTAGCGACCAACCAATTTTGAAAATAAGCTAATTCTTGCTGGTCTTGCGAAAGATGGCAATTAAAATTGTCCGTAACAGGCAAAAAGCGTGTGAAAGCTTTGCTATTTGATCTCACTAGAGATTCTCAGTGCAGAACTAAACAACTTAGACAGGGTCATTATTAAAATGAAGAATAGTCCATCAAATGGTTTCCTTTGCTGTTGGAGAAAATGGTTCCTCAAATCTGTTAATACATAAAGCATCTCATTGAAATCAATATAGTGGATCTTGCTGCTAACTTAGGCTGCTCTAATCGATCATTTGTGTATACAGAATGAGCATCTGCACATTAATTTATAACTTTCTTTGGAACTTGATACCAGAGTACATTCGCGTGAATGATTTTCTGTGGCACAAACAAGTTAAACTTAGAACAACTTTTAGCAGTATTAAATTTGCATATCCTGCAGGACCGCACTAATAATGAGTTTGTATCAGTGACTAAAGTATATCTCATCACAATCTTTCATGTTAGTGCTAGACTGAAATTTATGGTTTACCAAAGCTTGTAATTTCCTCTTCTGCAATGACTGCAAACTGCAAAGGCTGATTAGCACATTCCCAAGGATTTCCCCTTCTCTGCAACATATCTTGATTTAAACATGCATTTCTAGCTACAGTCCAGCCAATAATGACTTGGGGAGAAGATTCTGGCACAAGGATTTTTATATAGTCCTTATACATTCAGATGCCTATACATTGTTGAATACTTCATCAGATGAACTAGAAGGGAAATAGGGAATTTAACCTAATGTATATAGCCATTCTACTTCTTTTATTTTAGGACCCAATAATTCTTTAAAATTTATTGATCTGTTTCGTTCATGATGCCTCTGTATTCTCATTCTTTTACTGCCTGAAAACTTATGTTCTCACACTTGTGCCATTTCATTTCACAATTGAAATAGCATAGAACAAATTTACTTTGTGTTCCTTATATATATTACTTTTGTCTAGCAGGGACAGGGCACTTAAACAGTCGTATCGTTCAAGGATGGTGTGGAGCAAGGAGTAGTTACAAGGCACTTAATATTTTATCTTTTTTGGGATATGTATATGCGTACAATTACAATGCACAATGAAGTATCGGGTAGTATATATGTAGTTGACTTTTTAGTAATGATAATATTTATAATATTCGGCTTGAGAAATTCTTTTGGTGTTTGTCAAGCATTATTGGTTGCTTTAATATT